ATACGTGAATGAAGGATAAAAGAATGAAAACAGGATCAAAATAAAATAATGAGAAAAAAAAAATAATTAAATTGCGAGCGTCAGGGCGCTACTTTATTTGCACCAAAAATTTTTATTTTCGTTATAAATTTTTATTTTGAATATCCTCAAAAAAAAAAAAAAATAATAATAAAATTCCCCTTTTTCTTAATTATTCTTAAAAAAAAAAAAAATAAAATAAAATTTCAAATTAGCCGCATGATATAAATTTTAATAGAAATTGCACGTTATTTTGTATTATACATTAGATATATGTATGTGTGTACGTTTGTGTATAATACAATATTTTTATGCCTGTTTTAAATGTGTTTTAGTCACATGATTATTATTCTTGCTTTAATAACATTCGCTCATTCAATACTCATACACTAATTTTTTTTTTTCTATTAATAAATCGCATTATTCATAAATAATCACACATATTCAAAGTAGTAGACTTTTTAATGAAAGTGAAAATAGAAAAAAAAAAGAAAAAGTAACAAAACGACGAATAAAAGCAGTTAAAAAACTTACCGGTTAGGGTTTTATTTTATTTTTTTTCTTGCTGTCATATTTAAATTTTCTCTACACTTTATTTTATGCAAACCATTAAATTTCCATATTAATTTATTAATGAACCGTTAATTGAGTCAAATATGAAACTTGAACAATTTTCCAAAGAAATAAGTGTAGTATGAAAATAAGTGTCTCGTGCCATAGCGAAAAGGAAAAAACGAAAAACAAAAATTCCATTTAATTAAATGCATAAAGTAGAAAACGATGACAACGATACTTTTATTGTTCGAATATCCTTTTGAAAAAAATTAAAAGGATTTTTTAAATTACTTTATTGCGTGATTATTTTTTTTTTGTCATACAAATACCTAAGTATTTTTTATTTTCATGTATATACATAAGTAAAATATATACTTAAATAAATTATACTTAAATAAACTGTTAGATTATGACAAAACAAATTTTGTTTTCAAATGCATACTTATATTTATAAAGTAAAATGAGTAATAAAGGAATATTTTTATGTAAGTACGTGGAACGTTTACCTTATAGCATGAGATTAAATTCTGAAAAATAAGGTTTTAAATCACATCTTCATGCAACTAATTTTCTTAAAAAAATGTATCCTATGTGTATAGTATATTTGTGCCTATATAACTTTGCGTTATAATCAATACTCTTAATACATTTCAGCTCTCTTGTTGTTAAAAATTTATTGAAATTTATATCATTTCTAAAAGCGTATACATATGTATCTCAAAACGTAAAATATTAGTTGAAAATTCTCTGTCTTTTGAAAAAAAAATTTTCAACCACAATCAGGGTGCTCGTTGTGCTGTTAAAAAAAGCGAAACTTTCAAGTTCTTAATAAAAGAAACTTAGAAACTGTACAACGTTCCAAAAGGCTACCCAATTTTTCGTACATACACTATTATCGAAATTTTGAAAAAAACGTTAATTGTGACTGGTTGAGTTTTGTGAAAAATTACAAATATACAAACAAAATTACATAAAAATACAGAAACTTTAATTTGAGTTTCTCACAGAGTAGATATTTCACTTCAAACCAACTACTTTAAACTAAATCAAAATATTTTGCCGAAATGGCAGCCCTTATCACAATCCGTATCATACTTAACTGTTTTGAAACAAAAATGTTGCGAACTTGAAATATATAGATCATTTATTTAACTGATAAAATTTATTTTTCAAATTTTTCTAACATTAAATTAAAAATAATAAGGTTCACAGTTTTTTTCAAAATTGCTATTCTTGTTACTTCTTTTTTTAACTATTACATAATATTAAATTAGTACAAAATTAAAAATTAAAATACGTGTATATATGTTACATATGTAAAAATATTTAAATATATTATAAAAAGATCACTTTTATTTTTAAGGCATGCGATAAAAACTCTGTATATAGCACACAATTTAGTCAAGTATTTTTCTTAAGATACATGTATTATAAGACTTGCACATGAAAATTGTAATCATATAATAATGTGTATATATTTTTGTATATATTGCTAAATAATATTAATTTATATCATATAATATTTGTATAATGTAAATAAATATACATGTATGTATATCATAATGTATTTACATGCATTGATAAATTTTAAAATTTTAATGTTATATTCCCTATACGAAAATTAAAAAAATTGCATAAGCAAAAATTTTTTTTTTAATTATTTTCATATTGATTTTACGTTTTTTAATGAAAAATCTTGAACACATATTTTTTGTACATAATGTTTGTATATAAAAAAAAAAAAATTATGGCAAAAATTTTTTTCTAAGAATCTTATTTAAAATTATTTCAATTATAAAATTGATTTTTTTAAATTGCAACAAGAAAAATTTCCTTTTTCGCTTAAAAAAACGTAAAACCAATATAAAATTAATGAAATTTACGCTTACATTTTTGTTCACGCTTAACAATATTAAGTTGCTAAAGCTCAAATTATAATTCTAAAAAAATTTAATGTCATAATGTTTTATTTATGGTTAAAAACAATTAGAGCAAACTGTATTTTTGGCAAAATACCGTTGTTATAACAAAAAAATTTGAGTGAACAATTTTGTTCATTCTCAGTCAAATTATAGCTAGCGATTTTAAAAAAAAACCTTTGTTTTAGCATTGCTGCCGATGACAATGAATTTAATTTTTAAACAATGAAAAACATCTAACAGAAATAGACTAATAAAATATAAAATAAATTTTATTTGGAAGAGTTCAATTTTAAACTCCCTATTTTCATTTTTTAACAATCTTGTGATAGTTTCTAATTTTATAGTAAAAATATTTTAAAATTGTATTAAATATTGTCGTACAATGTGTGTATACAAATCAAACTATTCTAAAATTTCGTTGCATCCCCTCACATTTTTGTAAGAAAATTAAATTTGCTATTAATGACAAAAATGAATGATATTTAAATTAAATTAATTGAAATTTATTTAATTATTGTAAAAATTTGATAAACTACAATATTATATATCTAGCATGTAATAACAAACAATTATTAATTGACATTTGAAAATTTTTTTAGGAAATGCATGTCATTTAAATAAAAATGACATGCATTTTATATAAAATGCATGTCATTTAAATTTAATGAAAATTATTTTATTAATTAACATTTTTTTTTGTTTTATTTTACTATTTTTTATTAAATGCTATTTTTTTCATTGACTAATTATTTTTTTCTATAATTTTCTGCTCCTGTTTTTAACTTTATTCATTATTCTTTATTCTTTTTTATTTATATTTTTCTTTACATATTTATTTAATTATTTATATTAATTTAATATTTATTTTCTTTTATGAAAATAATAAAAAACACACGGAACGTCTTATAATATATATTTAATTCATTAAAAAAGAAAAAAAAAATCACTTTTCACTTTTGATGATTAAATATTAATTATTAATAATGCAATATTTTAATGAAACTATGTTAGAGAGCAACTTATATATATATATCAAGTATTTTACTAGAACATTTGCACGAGAAAAATAATTTTGAACGAAATTATTATTGGTTATAAATAGCTAATATTATTCAAATTTTATAAAAAAATTAAAATCTTATTGAAATGATAATTGATTCTGAAATTGCGAGTTACATTTATTTACTGTTTTAAACAATTTTGAGTTAATCCTTTATAACAAATACTAATGCAATAGTATTTGTAATTAAAAATTTTCAATCTGAAAAAAATTAAGTGTACAAAGCTAAAACATGAAAATTAAACAAAATATTTTAAAATTTCTACTGAAATAAATCTGCAAGTTATAAGTATTCGCTTGTAACTAAATCAAAAATGTTAAAAAATTGTAGTATACACTCTGCATGAGCTATTTAGTTCATAATAAACTTATGATATACATGTGTCATGAGTCTAATATTAATTAATTTAAGATTGAAATTTTCAAAGTCTTCCTTTAATGTTGAACATTAGAAATATTATGTTTTATTTAGTTTTCGCGTTCTCTACAACTTCTCTTATCTTTCTTATACTCATTCTAACACTAAGATTTCATATAGAAATTGTACAGAAAGTTATTAAAAAGGAAAAATAATCAAATAATTCTCACTTAACAGCGAAAAACAAACGAATTCAAAACAAAAAGTCACAAAATTGCTTATAAAAATATAGGCTTTGCCGATTCTGTTACGTTTGAGTTATATAATAGCCAATAAACTGACTTCATCGCTATATAGTTTTATATGGTTCATTTTCAAATATAACACTTCCATTATGTGGTTTTTAACAGTTATATAAATTTGACTTGCCGTTTAATGCAGTATATTTAAAAATTGATGTCTGTTTCTCATTAATTGCGTCAAAATAATTTTTCTCAATTAATTTCTAGTTTGCAATAATTATATAAATTATTATTATAACGAGCACCAATTTTTTTTTTTCTGAAACATAAAAAAAATAAGAGTGATAATCAGTATTTTATACAAGTACATTACATAAATATTCATTTTTTTTTTAATAAATTTCAAAAATATAATATTTTTCTTTCTTTTTCTGTCAATCAAACTATTATTATTATATACTTTTTCGAGATATGTCAAAAAATTAATAAATGATATGAATAATTTTGCAAAAAAAAAAAATATTAATAATTTCCTATAAAGTATAAAAACTCACTTTGTTGTTTTTTTTATATATAAATATATATATATACATAAATATACTTAATTATATAAGAGAACAAAATTATATGATAATCAAAATAATTATTTAATCGTATGATATTTGCTTGCGTTTTTTTTTCTGTCACTATATATAATAAAATATAAATATTACTTTAAATACAAAATTATAATTTATTATCTATTAAGTAATTAAATTTAAACAAATACCAATAGAATCATTTTTTAGAAATGATTCTTAATTATTAAAGAAAATGGACAATTTTTACTGAAAATTTTAATTTAGCGGAAACGATATTGGGACGTCACAGTACAATGGAAATTCGTTCAATACACCTGGGTGGCTTATTTCATGCAGAAGAAGAAATTCAAATGACATCAACAATGTCAAATTTTGTTGGTCAAATGCAGGGATTCGTTTACAATGGTCATCGGTAAGTTTAAAAAAAAAAAGACAGAGAAGATCGTTAATTAATATAAAAACAAAAATCGCAAATGTTTAAATAAACTTTAGCTTAATAAATGTAAAATTTAGTAAAATCACAACCATTTAAAGTTAATGGCAATTTTTTACATTTTAGATATATTGATATTGTTAAAAGTCTTGGTCCAGAACTATCAACACTGCCGTCAACAACGTTCAAGTTAACAGCACGTTTCGTGAATTCACCGCCAGGTAATCCATATCATCAAGCAACATTCCGTTCCAAACACTCTTATGTTGGTTTACCAATACTAAAAGCATATCAAGCAATGTTCATAGATTTTCGTTTTAAAACGGTAGAGGCAAATGGATTATTATTGTATAATGGTGGTAGAAGAAACGATTTTGTTTGTATTGAACTTGTGAACGGTCATATTCATTATACATTTGATATGGGTGATGGACCAATAACAATGCGTGATAAATCAAGGATTCATATGAATGACAATAGATGGCATTCAATAAGTATTCGTAGGCCTGGACCAAAAACGCATACATTGGCTGTCGATGATACTTTAGAAATATTAACAGTACCTGGAAATAATTTACATCTAGAATTAGCTGGAATTTTATATATTGGTGGTGTATTTAAAGATATGTACGCAAAACTGCCAGCTGCAATAGCATCTAGATCTGGTTTTGAAGGTTGTTTAGCATCATTAGATCTTGGTGATACTTCACCATCATTGACTAGTGAAGCAGTTGTACCAAGTTCACTAGTTGTATCTGGTTGCGAAGGACCAACAAAATGTAGTCAAAATGCTTGTGCTAATCGTGGTATATGTGTTCAGCAATGGAATGCGTATGCTTGTGAATGTGATATGACATCATATACTGGACCAACATGTTATGACGGTAAATTTACTATTATTTAAAACATAATATTTACTCAGAGTTAACAATTTTGTTTTTATGTTTTAGAATCTATTGCATACGAATTCGGGCCCGGTAAAGGAATAATACAATACACATTTCCTGCTGGAAAACAACCAGATACTGAAGAAGATAATATTGCTTTAGGATTTATAACAACAAAATCAGATGCAGTACTTCTAAGAATTGAAAGTGGAAATTCTCAAGATTATATGGAATTAGAAATAGTTGAAGGGAATATATTTATGGTATATAATATTGGAACACATGATTTGCCATTAGGTGAAATCGGTACAAAAGTTAATGACAATAATTATCATGTTGTGAGATTTATGCGTTCTGGTGGAAACGCAACTTTACAATTAGATGATTATAATGTACAAAATGTTTACCCTCAAGGTAAAGAAAATTTAAAATTTTTTTTAGAAATATTTTAATTGTGTCTGTAGCGAAATAATCTTTACTTTAAATTATTTGAATTTCTCTCGATTGAAAACTTTAATGAGAAAAAAACCATAGTCAAAATGTTGTTATTGTTACAATTCTTAGATTTGTATCTCTGAAATATCTCAAAATAATCCACTTTTTCATTTAATTTTAAAATATATAATATTTTTAGGTCATCCGTCTACATCTTTTAATGCAATGTCAAATGTTCAAGTTGGTGGAAAATTCAGTCGTCAAGGACGTTATCGTATTGAAAGGCCATTTGTTGGTGTTATTGCTGGTCTATCAATTAACAAATTAAGAGTTTTGGATTTAGCAGCTGAAAGGGATCCACATATAACTACACGTGGAGATGTTCAATTGGTAACTGGAGTATTAGATAGATATGATCAGCAAAGAATGCAGCAGGTTAGGGGATTTAAAATAATTCCAAAAAAAACAATTCAAACAAAGAAAAAAATCAGACAAAAATGAAAAATAAAAGCTTTTTTTACAAAAAAAAAAAAAAAAAAAATTCAAAACATTTTTCAGCATTTTTCTTATATTAATTATTAAACTTTTTTCAAAAATATTATTTTGAAATTTAAATTATAAAAGCGTAAATTTCTCAGCATTTTGATATAACAATATTCAAAAACATTCAATAAGAAAAGAAATCGCTATTTTTAGTTTTGATAAACTTTAAATTCCTCATTCATCAGTATGTAACTGGATTTCTTTTCTTTCTATTTAAAATTTTTGTTTTTATAATTTCTAATACATTATGTATTTCATTTTCTATAATCTTTATTTTCTTTAATGTTATTTTTTAGTAATAATAATTTATTATTTTTTTTTTTATAATTGATTCTACATTTTCTTTTTCATAAATAATTATTAATATTATTGGTTCATTTCTATATTATTTTATTTTTCCTTTTATTTTTTTTTGTAAGTATTTCAAAAATATAAATGTGCTCGCATCTATGCATTTTTTTATTCTTTACATCTTCTATTTTTACCTTTACTTATGATAATATGCCTTAAATTTATTATAACATAATTGTAAATTTTTCTCAGTAAAATTATACTTACATTATTTAAAAATTATTCAAATTAAATACTATTTCATTTCTATAAATAATTGAAATCATGTTTTTCATTTATTAAAAAAATGAAGGAAAACTATAATTATATAAACAAAAAATTTTAAATCTAACATCATTAATATTCATAATGGAAATTCAATAAAAAAGCTCTGAAATATAAAACATTAAAATAAGGAGCAGAAAGAACGAAATACATATTTGAATACATTTCAACTAGTTAATAAAAAAAATTAGAAAATTAAGATGCAATTGATTAAAGACATAAAAAAATTTATTGGGTGTATGCAAGCAGAATGTTTATTAATTCTTAATTTCAACTATAGGATATCTCATATAGTTAAATAATTAGCTTAACTTAAATAGTTCACGTATGTATAGCTTTATTACATAGAATTAATTTTAACGTGTCTAAAACTTTGAGCTATTTTTTAAGACATTTTTGTATTTTGTAAATTTTTATGTAAATCGTTTTCGGAATAGTGGTAAGGTAATACCAATCAATTTGTATGGTACTACCTTTCTATTTCTGCAGAAATGAAAATCGAATTACATAGTAAGACCCCAATACCAAAAATTTGTCGTAAAATCAAAATTTGGTATTGAAAAAACAATCCTAATTAACTCGTTTGGTAATTCAGTTTTATTGACTGAAAATTATTCGTTTAGAAGTAATTTTAATACCTTAATGTTTTAATTTTCGTTTTGCTTCAAAATCTCTTATATTTCTACCTTGAAAGGAAAAAGTTGAAGCTTTGATAATCAAATATTTTTAGAATACATGTTCAAATAATTATAATTTTCCTTTTGCTTTAATATAAATGTAAAATGAAATTCTTCTTTATTATATAAATATATCTAAATTTTACTTTAATCATTTCTTTTTTTAATTTTTTTTTTTATAAAGAATTAATCGTTAATTTCAGTATTTAATACCATATTACAGAATATTAATTTATTTTGTAAATTTAAATGTATTTGATATCATTAAATTAATATTATATAATAATGTATTTATAAAAATTTCCTTATATTTTATGTTTTCATTATTGCTATATTAATTTTATATTATATAAATATTAATTCCGTATACTAAATGCATATACTTACTATACATTCCCGTATAATAGCCTATATTACCGATATTAGCCCTAAAATTTTTTATCAATTTAAAAAAAAAATAAAATACAGTATATTTATTATTATTTGTTTTTTTTTTCACATTTGTATATTTTGTAAATTTAAAATTAAATTTATTATAAAATTTAATAAGTGTAACGTGTTGTGCCTTTTAATTTTAAAAAGAAAAGTAAAGTTTATTTTTTTTACTCAATCAATTAGATAATCTTAACCGTATAATATGAGAGAAATTTATGAAATTTAATAATATAATTTTAAGAGTAAATATAAAAAATACATTTTTATAAAAGATTAATTAAATTGTTTGCGAAATCATTAACATATTGCTAATTTTAACTTTTTTTACTATGCCATATTATATAGAATATTGTATTTTATAAATGCATAAATAAAATATTAAATGTAAATTTCATTGCGAATAAATTTCCTTTCTGGAATTTCATTTGTGGCATGCGATTTTAAATACTTTTTTTTTTGTAAATTAAGATTAAAAATTTTTTCTGTAAATAAAGAAATTAATAAATTTGTTTTAGAAGAAGAGAAAAATAATTACAATAAAATTAATTACCTATTACAAATTTATAAAAATCAATTTAAAAGAACGAAATTGATTACATTTGTAACATAAATTATTGTATTAAAAAATCATAATAATTGAAACAAACAAATGCAAACTGAAAAGTTAAAAAGCGAAAAATATCAATAATATTAAAGTTATTTTTTTGTCTTTAAAACCAGCTGCAGTCAATGTTCAAAATCTAATATATAATTAATAGTTATATAATAACATATATCTATATATATATTTTATATAAAATTATTTTAAAATTAATTATATATTACATTATTTTAAAAGCAAACATAAATAAACAAAACAAATAAAATTAGAAGGACACTTGACACATTTATCAGGAATACAAAATTTTAAACATAACTATTTTATCATGTAAAAACTTTTTATTAATAAGTTTTATAAAATAAGCTTAATATTTTGATTTTAATTAACAAATTTTTAAAATCTTTTTGTTAATTTATTTTTTTTTTCTTTATTATTTTTAAACAGAATATAAAGGTACATTGCATACAATCAATACAAAACATACATAAACGCAGTGTTCTTAGTTCGAAGATAATATTATTGTTTCGTGTGATTTGAAATGAAGACTATTTTATACTTATATTAGAACTAGTTTTGAAAAAAGTTGCGATATACTTAATATCATAAAAGTACTTAATTCAATAGGATTCGATTTTTCATATTTAAACCCATGTTTTTAGTTCAATCTGAACCAGGTATTCAAAAATTACAAATATTTCATTTTTAATACATATTATAATAGGCCAAATAAAGAAAAGTAATTTATTTTTATAACATTTAATAAAAGTTAGCAACCACAAACAAGTTTTAAATTAGGTCATTCAAATATTTTGTTTTTAATCCTTGAAAAACATAAATTTTCAAGAAATAATTTGATAGGTAGGAATTGATTTCAACAACCTTATTTTAAAATATTATATTAACTTATTTTAAAATATTTCCATAATTTTCATTGTTCCATGAATATTTAGTAATTACAAATGTCACAATAATTTATTGAAGTTCCTCAATTCTTTTAGAAGAATTTTATTCTTTAAAGGCTTGAAAAATGGTTTCGTGAATTAAATATATTAATTTTAAAGCTTAAAATTTCCATATGCATGAGCCTATATTTTTATTTAGATTTACTTTTTCTTCTAAATTTTTATATGCGAATTTTATTTGATTTTTAAGTGTATAACATTTAAAATTCAATGCCTATAAAAAGTAATAGAAATTTGAATATTTGCTCAATTATTATTGATTCTATTTTCAATTGCAATAAAATATAAAATAATTTTATATTCAATTATAAAATGAACGCATCAATAATATTTATTTTTAAAATAACTTATTTCCTGATGATAAAAGAATTTGGCGATTCTATGGAAATTGTAAAATAAGTTATTTGCGAAAAAGTCATTTTCGTTGAAACCATATAGAATCAATGAGGTTTTTTTAATAATTGATAATAATTTCTTTAATCAAACGAGAGTGTATTCTGTAATTTATTTTAAAAAATTAATCCTAGTCGAGCATCTCGCTTTTTTACTCACTTTTTTCACTTGCCAAGTAAAATAGCGAGATGGAGATATCAGGCCCTAAAGGCACATATGAATTTCAACAAAATTATCAATACAACAATAATTATAACACAACAAATACAAGGCACTACATCCACAATTTATTAACTTTTATTTCTATAACACTAATACCTTATATATATATATTGTATATTATATCTATATAAATGTTAAAATATTTATATAGAAACAACATTATTTATATTTTAATACCTTATACTCTTGTGATTTACAAATTTACATGTTTACATGTTGCAATTGAACTCAAAAAAAAAAAAAAATTAAAAAAAATGAATAAATTTTTTATTTTTAACATATTTTCATATTTCTATACTTTTATTGGTATTTTACCGTTTTCTATAATTGCACACATACTTTATTCATTAAATTTTATTGCACAATTAATATGTTAAAAATTTTACTTTAAAAAAAAATTTAAAAAATTACATACTTTCTTTCATTTATTCTATACTTGATTTTTAAAAAAAAATATATATATATATATTTTCTTTTTCTTTTTTTCTGAGTGTCCGAGTTATACATTTTTATACAAAAAATAAACAATTTTTATTAATTAATAAATTAATATATACATATATAATATTATTATTATTATCATTATTATCATATTAAAAGATGCATTAATTAAAGTTACATAATAAATAGTTTTATAAAATTAATTAATTTGCATCTGGCATGTTATAAAAATGAATATTTAATTAATTAATGAAATTTCTTTTTCTTTTTCGTTTTCTGTATTTTTTCTTTCCTTTTTTTTTTCTTTTATCTTTTTCTCCGCAATAATTTATTTTCGGACCCATTTTTTATTTTGATGAACTAAATTGGATATTCATAACATACCAAACAAAATTTTGATATTTAGACGCCTGCAAGTGGCTATTCTGGTGTTATGGATGATTTAATATTTTCTGGTGCCGGATCTGGTTGCCGTGGTGATGACGAAGACGAATGTACACCACCATTTGAATCGGGTAGTGGTGATGATTTAATAACACCAGTATATGTTCCACCAACAAAAACACCAACTGGTCAAAAAAGTGGAGCCGGTGAGAAAAATGCAGGCGAAAGTGGTGGTACTGAACGTACGTGTGACGATGAAGATTGCTTACACGGTTCTGGTGATTCTGGTGAAACAACTGAACAATTTACATCAACAACATCTAAAGGAGCAGGTAAGAATAATAAAAATATTTTTTTGGTTTTTCTTTTTTGTTTAAATAAATTTTAAAAATTTTTTAATTAGAAAATTTTTTAAAATCAAAAAGTAACTTTAATTGCTTGTATGCCAATAAATTAGATAAGTTCGAGAATAATAAGTTTTAATTTTATTGACAATAAAAAAAAAAACAATATTTTGACTACAAAATTAGTCTGAGTAGTTCCTTGTTTTTATGTATATTCTATAGTACACATCATTAGACTGTAAATTTTTATTAAAAAAGGAAATAAAACTGCTTTTTTTTTTTAATTTAGTTAATTGTGTGTATTTAAAATAGCTTTTGTAGTTTTTTTTAATTATAAATTATATGCTGCTTTTTCAACGTTAGATAGTTATATAAATATTTTAATATTATTGCAGTATATTGAAAAATATTAATTATGTATAAAAAAATTATGAAACAAATTCATGATTTAAATAAAACCGTAATGCATTTTTTTTTTATAAATCTTGTAAGTATTACCTCGTTTTTATAATGCTACATATAGACCATATTTCAAATAACTCCTGAGTTATAATGTAAAAATTTAAAATATTATTATTGTCAACAATCGGGAATACGGAAAATTCACACTGCATATTATGACTACTTTACGTCATTGATGCACGCTAAACGCCAATTTTATGTTGCGAGCAAACTATTAAAGTTACTTTTTAAAATACATTCAAAAATTCTATATTGAGTGAAAGGCAAAAGCAAATTGTTCGTTTTCTATTTCCATCTCTTTTTTTTTACCATTTTACCATCATCATTTCATTACATAATATTTAAATGTTTTTTTAATATTATCTTTTCATTTTGATTACCGTTATTATTGTAAACCGCTTATTGATCTTTCATCCTCCTTTGATTTATCGATTCGATTCGATTTGATTATTTTTTTTTCTTTTGCTAACATTTTTTACTAATTTGCATTAATTTTTCATATTAATTTCTCATAAAATTAATCCGAATTTATTTTAATTTTTTTTTTTTTCGTTAATGATAATTGACTTATTTTCGAATATTTTGTTAAATTGTTGAAATTGGCTTTCAAAAACAAAAAAAACTAAACATTACTTTCGGTAAATCTAATATTAAATTTTTTTTTAAACAAATCTTAGTTTATCTTAATAATAATATCCTTCCCACCATATATATCCCTATCATTATTTCATACATCATGCACTGTGTCTTTTATCGGCTCGATTCTTTTACTTTCATTTAGAAACATCAGATCAAACGTCATCTTCGTCATCATCTTCATCGTCCTCATCGTCATCGCCAACAACAACCGATATTGTTTCATCTGTTGGCGGCGCTGGTGGTAGTGGTAGCGGGCGATTTACAACATCGACAACTGAACAGCAGACTACATCAATAATAACAAGAACTGAACCAGAAACATCTTCAACTTCTTCTCATGACACAACGGTTCCAATTACAACAACTGGTCGATTTTCACCGCCATCATCTTCATCGTCGTCAACATCATCTTCGACACCATATTACACAACAAGTAGCGGTTCACAAACATCAATATTTACAACGACACAACAACAACAACAACATCATTATGTTACAGAACATGAAACCACTCAATATGAAACACCGGGAATAACAACAGGGGAAAGGGAGCATGAGCCACGTCAGCCTACTACAGAGTTTGAAATACCAGAACCTGAGAGAGAACCCGAATTACCGCTAACACAGCCTCCACAAGTCTATTACCCCATACACAATAATCCTATAATAAAAGGACCACCATATGGAGATCCCAATTTCAATCCAAATGAAAGAACATATCCTGGAAATAAACAAAGAAAACCACCTAGAATAAATTCTATTGAAGAGGAGCGCACCGCAATGATCATAGGAATTGTAGCCGGTATTTTAATAGCTGTTGTCTTAGTTATATTATTAGTATTGTTCCTGAAATCAAATGGCGATCGGTATAAAGATGGTGAAAAAGCACCTGGATATGGAAGTCATGGTCAGAGTGCAGCACTATTAGGTAATACTAGTACAAACGGTTCTTATCATCATGGTGGAAGTATTAGTAATCAACATCATCAACAACAATCTAGACAATTATCAAATGGAAGTGGTACTGGTGCATACGGCAGTAATGCTAACAGCGGTGCTGGCACTGGTAGTGGTATAACCAGTGCTGTAAGTGGTACTGGTGCTGCTCTTAGCGGCACTGCCTATGGAGCATCAGGTTCAGCTATGATGGCGTCTGGTATGGGTTTAAATGGTTCAATGAATGGTAGTGATAGGCAACCAGGTTTAGTACAACCGCGAGCAAAAAAACGTGATTCAAAAGATGTTAAAGAGTGGTACGTGTAAATAAAACTTTAGTTTAATTGCTAGGTAAAAATTAAAGGAAAAAAAAAGATAAAAACAAAAAAAAATGAAGTTGTAAAGTTATTATTAATATTTTCAATTGTTTATTTTAAATTTGATTTTTGTTATATAATTTATAAATTAAACTAAAATTAGTTGTTTAGAATTAAAAATTAAACAATAGATCAAAAAGAATTTTTAAAAATCTTAAAATTAATTCATAATTAAGTGTAAATTTGCATAATTAAGCTAGATAAACCAAAGAAAGTTATTATTTGATAAAAAATGAATTGCAATAATTAAATTTTAATTTAAGTACAGTTAAGTTAAGTATAACATTAAGTAAAATTAAAAGAAAATTAATTTTAGTTATGATAAAATTAAAAAAAAAAAAAAATAGAGAAAACCAAAACAATTTAAACAATGAAAATCCGTCGAAAATCCTATTAAACTTAGAAATTTTCTCTTAAAATGTAAAATGAAAATTAATTCTCCAACCACATTTGCTTTAAAAATTTAAAAATTTGTTTGGAAAAAAATATTAGAAAGACTTCATTCTTGAATTTTTCGTTGTCATGAATAATTTCAAAAATAGTCAAATAGTAAAATCAAAAATTTTTTTTTTTATTAAAAAATTTTCTTTCATTAATTTTCCGAAAAATCTTCTAACAGTCTGTTTTTTCCTTTTTTGAATTTTCTAATTTTAAACGAACTAGACAAAACAAAAATGTAAAAATTATTAAGCCAAAGACGGAATTTTAACTCCATAATCCTGAAACTCTTTAGAGAGTTTTCTTTAGTGATAACACAATGGTATATACACAAATACATACCAACATTAATATTAAATTACATACATACATATGTTATGTGTATCTGCAAGTGAAATATTACTACATTAACAAATATTAATAATTTCCTTGTGTTATTTCAAAACATAAAAAAAAAATTCATGAAAAAAATGTGGTGCTGTAAATTTTAGTCCCTATATAAAATATACATATGTATATATAAATCCGTATTCATATAGATATACATATATATATAAATATATGCATGAGTATGTATATAATTGTATATATGTATGTTATTATATATATGTATATTATAGTTATTAAATAATTAATTTTAAAATTGCACTGTAAATTATTATGAAATTATTAAATTTAATGAAAACAAAAGAAAAGACACAATTATTATTAATTAATTAATATTTATAATTAAAATATAATTATGTAGAATCAATAATAAGAAAATTTAATAATTTAGTAAATTTATATATTCCAAAAATATTTAATTTTTCTTTTTGTATTTTTTTTTTATTAAAAATAAGGCAAAATTTTGAAAATGCTAAAGCTTAAATTCAATTTTATTTAAAAAAATAAAATATTTTTAATTAATTTTCATTTTTTTATAATATAAAAATTTTTTTATAAAAGTGATAACAACTGAATTACAAGTATACATACATAATTACATATTATATTATTTTTATAACCTTCCAAAAATTATTAATAATCTTATATAAAAAATGGTAAATGAAAATACGACAAAAGTAGAAGAGTAGAAAACCTTTTCTTTCACTAATTTTTCATTTTATTCAAATACAATAAAATTGGAAATATTTCCATTTTTACAGAAAATCGCATTTTAATAGGGCTTTTGCATAAAATTCCACAACCTTACTTTAATTAAGCAAGAAATTTCTAGAAACTTTCAAATTAAAAAATTAAAAGCATTAGACATACATAAAGTTTCCAACATTGTTTCCTACATTTTCTATAAATTTTAAATTGGATATATGTACATTCGAACTAAATTTTTGAAAATAACCTTGTGTTTAAATCAATTATTACTATGCAGCTTAATTTAGGAATTTAATCTCATAAATTGTACTTTTCTCTTACATGTAACAAAATCTTAGTCCTGTTGCATGAGTTAAATAATCATACATAAATCTGATTATAAAATTTTACTCCTTGAGAAATCACGATAAAATTTGATGAAAATTTCATTACAATAAAAATCTCATATCTATTTATTAAAACCAAGTAAAAAATAAAGAAAAGGGGATGTTAATAGTAAGTTTTTCTTTCTTTCATCTCTAAAAAAAGAGTGAGATTAATAAAGTTATAAATTGTGTATGATAAAGAAAAAAAAAAGAATGAATAAGTAAATTTAAATTAAAAACTATTAGGAGGCAAATAATTATAAGACAGAAATATTATTATAAGGCAGAAAAATCTTTACAAAAGAAACAAAAAATAGTTAATTGAATAATATGTGAGCGCATAAAAATTAAGAACCAATTTTTTTAAGAACCAAACAGGAAAAAATATTAATTAATGAGAATCAAATTAAACATATCATTGTTAAATCAGCAATTTTTTTTCTTTTTTTTTTTTGTAATAATTTTTATACGCGTTTATTATAATATATATACAATTTAAAATAAATAATATTAATTAAAATATATATACATTTACATAATATACATTTTACATGTTTTTTAGCATAATTAAATATTAATTAAAAAAAAAGGCAAAAAAAAAAAAAAACAAAATTTTCAATATCGTTTTTATTTATTTTATAAGCTTTATAATACTTATATAACAATGAATGAAATATTTTATTAAAGTAAATTAATATACAATCATTCATACATATTATATACGAAAACATTTTTAATTAAAATACAAAGACTTCATTTTTTCAACAATAAATTTATTTTATATTTTTTTGGCTTAAGATTGCAATAAAATTAAACAATACATAATAATTATAATAGAATTAACATTGAATTTATATAAAATTGTAATGAAATTATCATTAAGATTCAGAGTATAATAGAAATGAATAAAAGCAAACCAAAAAAAAAAACCCAAAGAATTATAAACGTTATATTAATATTGTCAGTTGTTATAACTTTTATAAAATAAATTTTATAATTATACATATTTCAGCAAAAAAAAACCAAACACGATAATACAAAAACAAACAAAAACAATTTTTATTGATATTAAAAATTTCTAAGCGTATTTGAGCGTAAAAAAAAGCATCTCTTTGAAAAATGTTTACATCAATATTGCATATTATTAGGATTAAAAAATACAAAAAAAAAACCAATAAAAACATAAAAAAAAAGTGAAGTAAATTTTAGAAAAAGTAAAAGGAATAAACAAAAAATCATATCAAATTTTATAAATAATATTAATACACACATACATATACATATATCAATAAAATATATATACATGTGTACACAAACGTATAAGTATAAATCTATAATGTCCTTTGTAAACTACTATAAATACTTTAAATCAATTCTTTATTCATTATGTAATTAATAATTAAAACAAAAAACTTTTTAGATTAAAAAAGCAAAAAAAAAGAAAAAATTAAACAAAAAAAAAGACAAAAAACGTTCACTTCTTTCCTAAAACGTATAACATTAATATTTCAGTGTATATTTTTAATATAAAAGAAAAGTGTCTGTTGCATTTTTTTATATTTCAATGTAAAAAATTTTTCTATTATGTAATTATACGTTAAATTTTTTTGTTTCGTTAAATTTTTCTACGTATTATGTATCAAAACTAATCAAAAACTAAAAAGAAAACCTGATAAGGCAGAATAGAAAATTAAAAAAAAAAATAAAAATGTGTTCGACTTCATTAACTTTCCTTTACAAAATGCATAAAATAATGAAAATATTACTCAATTTATGCGTATGTTAAAAAAAAAAGAATAGAATTGCAAATTTTTAAAATCTGCATTGTTATTGCATGCTATGAAAACTAAAACAAACATAATATATATAATTATATATATATATTATAAAAAATATACCTATATACATAAAACAAAAGTCCAGGAATCCAAAGACTCATTTCAATATTCCGATGCATATTTGCTTACTTTTGTGAATTTTTTATTATGTTTTTTTGATTTTTTTTTTCTTAAAATTTTGTTTAGTTTAAATTTAATTTGATGTGCTGTGCCGTTAAACAAATATTCATATTTGTGAATGTGCTGCTCATGAGCACGTAGACATAAATGTGTACCGTTCTAAAATTCTTAATTAAATTTATATTAAAATAAAATAGGAATTTGCATAATTTTTTTTATTTTTCTTCTAAATAACCTTATTTAAATTCAATTATTTTTAATTTATTATGCAATTTCTTCTTAATCTAATTCGTAATTGATTATAGTTTTTTTTTATTTTTAATTAGTAATTCTTTTTAATACTCGAAATATTACAAGTTTTTTTAAAACTCATATGAAAGTTAAGTATGAGAGATTTTCAAAAGTATGTTTTCTAGAGTCTTGTATTGTTATTGTGCGATAAATGCACAAGCTACCAACAATTATTAAAAAATTTATTTCTCATGCATAAACATTTTAAAAAAATTGATGAAAGTAAGCGAATTTCTTTCTTTTTGTGTACATTAAGAATAAATATAAAAATAAAACTTCAAAATAATTTCCTATAAACTAATTTCTCATTAATGTACATTTTTGTTTTTTTTTTTTCAATAGAATATTATTTAATATTATAACAGGAGTAAAGAAATAAAAAGAGTTTTCCCGAATTTTTGATAAAGCTTCGTGTCACACTGTAAATAAGAAAATCAGAAAATTTAATAAAGAAGAAATTATAGTTTTATTTTTACAGCATCTTTAATTTTAACAAATTAGTTAATTAAATTAATTTTAAAAGCAAATGTAAAAAATGATATAATTATTAATGTTCACACAAAATAGAGAGCTTTATCAAACATTAATGAATAAAAAAGAAAAATTATAAAAAAAAAACAAAAATGTGAATGGATTTAGTAATATACAGGAATGATTAATATTTAAAACTATACACACAGTTTACATAAATATTATGTAAACTCGAAAAAAAAATATGTAGATAAAATTATATAGTGGAATTATTGCAATCATGTGCATTTTTATATTATATAATATAATAATTATGATAATAAAATTATATATGTGTTTAAATTCAAATATAGATAAATTTTGTACAAAAAAAGAAATATGTATATCATAAAAGAACAATTTAGTTATTAGAACAAAAAAATAATATAAAATATATTAATTATTTTTTTTCTGTGTATTATTTTTACCTAAATTTTTCATAATTCAAATATTAAAAATAAATAAATTTGTAGAGAAAATATTCAATAATTTTAACTAATTTACTGTTTGAAAATAGCTTATATTTTTTTATAACTTAAAAAAAATATATTGTGTAATTTGTATATTTTTGTTTTCTTAACTAATTATCAAATAATATTTAAATTTTTGTTCATTTTACACATTTATTTTATTATTCAAATTAATAATATCAAAATTTTTTAGAAAAATAAATTAATTTTATTAAACAAATTAATATTATATATACAATATTATAGTATAATAGATTATATATTATAATCCACTACAAAAATAGAGATAAAGAAAACGAAACGCAACATCATATAAAAATAATAGTGTAAAACATACAAAAAATCAACAAAAATAACAAAATTAAAGCATAATATTATAAAAACAAAAAAACAATAGTAATTTTTATAGAAGAAAAAAACAATGATATTGACAATAAAACAACTCAAATATAAAAAGTAGCAAATTGTACTCTATAAAATATTAAATGCAGAAAACAATGTAAAATTCAAATATTCTAGGAGACATTCATGAAAAAAAAGAAACACAATTTAGAATATTTAAAAAATATAGAAGAAAAAACACGATAAGATAAAATAACTGTTGTAATATAAAAAAAAATGTATTTAGAATAAAAATATAGCAAAACAAAAAAAAATCTTGTAGAATTCAAAAAAAAAAACTTACACTATTTCGCTTTCAGTTTTTATTCAATTATAAATTGCATATGATGGTATATTATTAGTATCATAGAGTAAATATTATATACCTAAATCAAATATTACATACATATACATAAAATATATTTAAATGTGAAAAAAAATTATAAATCCAAAAATTCAATATAGCTGAAATACTCTGACAAAATTTTCAATTTGAAAAAGATTTATGTAAAAAAAAAATAACAAAATTGCTAGTAGCTATAAAAATCTTTATTTAAACAAAAGTAAAAAATTTCGAAGTAAAACCAAATTTAATAATGTGTATAAGAAAAACTAAATAAAGAATTAAATTCATAAATTTCAGTATTATATACAAATTTAACTAAGATGCTAATAATATTAAAAAAAAAACGAAAATCATAAAAATCTAAAAATAAAAATGACTATATATATATATATATACAAAAAATTGTAATCACTAACGTACTAACTATAAATTTAATATTATGGATTGAACACTAAAACCATTTATAGAAAAAGTGAAAATACTCAATTTTTTAGTTAATTAATATTGAATAGTTAAAATTAATGAAAACCCATCTGTTTATTTTAATAATTAAATTATATAATTTTCATATTTACATTATATTTTTTGGGAATAAATGCAAATAGAATAAATTCAATTAAATATTTAATAAAAATGAACAAAAGTAAAATTTGAAATTTCTTTAACAGGTTCCTTTATATATCCAGCAAATAAGAAATGAAAAATAAGAATTTTAAACTTTGTATACGTTTCATTGTTTATGTTTAGAATAACCTACATAATAATATATGTTTAATTTAGAATTATTATATGGGCATATTTTAGTATTTATCATTAAAACTTTATATTGTCCTTATAAAAAAATATAAGATAAACCTTACATTTCCCTTCGCAACAAATATCAAAAAAACAAAAAAACAAAAATAAAACTGACAAGCCAGCCATATTTATTATTGGTTTCATATATGATTATGTTTTTTTTATGTATTTTTGTTAAAGAAAAACATAATATTAGTTTAATCATATATTTTATACAACTGTACGTTTAAAAAACATCATTTCGTTCTTTTTTTTACTTTCTGTGTTTTACAAAAAAAAAAAAAATACGTTTTCTCTGTAGTTAGTATTAAATTTTAACTTTCTTATTATTTTTTTAATCTATCTATTTTATTTTGTTTTTCTTTCGATTTTTTGAAATTCTAAAAAAAAAAAACCGAATTTAAAATCTTTAGTTTATTTTATTTATTTTTCAGATACGAGTATAAGCTCTACTATAACTACAGATTCTGTAACTACTACTGTAATTGATATAACTACTACTACTACTACTACTACTAATTCTACTAGTACAGATAGTAGCGAAACTTCTTTTATGAATATTACAAATTCTTCTAGTATTCTTCTTTCTTCTTCTTCTAGTACTACCACTTCTAGTACAACAACTACTGCCTATGCAGGTTGCATATTGCATTAAAATAATATTTTTTTGAAAAAAATATTAAAACAATAAAAAAAGAAAATTTAATTATTAAATTTTTATTTTTTTTTTGTTTTTTTTTTTTTTTTTGTTTTTCTCTCTCTTTGAAACTATATTTCAGGTTTATTAATACTAATTACACTTAATATTATTGATAATATTATTAAAAAGTTATAGAAACAAATTTATAAGTATTAAAAATTTTTAAATATATTTTTATTATAAAATTTGTTAAATTATTCTCTTGTTGCAGAACTACCTATATATATAGCTACATAATACAAAATATATATAATTATTTTAATTATTTTTAATATTAAATAAAAAATTTTATTATTATAATGATAAAATTATTTAAAAAATAAAATACAAATTCAATTTTACTGCGATCTTTTATTGAAATGAATTTCTTTTTGAAGCTACTTACTTTATGTAGAGATTAAAAAAAAAAAAAACAAAAGTAATAACAAAAAAAACAATCAGAATAGGTAATTATACAATTCAGTTCAATTCTAATTATTAATAGTATTATATAAATTTCATTATTTTTCATATTTTAAAATTTTATGCTAATTTATTGGTAGTATTTAGTTGAATTTCGATACATTTAAAATTATATAAATAGTATATAGTACGTAAAATTTGTTGTCTATAAATATATTACAAAATAGTAGTCTATGAAATCCAAAATGTGGCGGTAAACAAAAGTGTGGTATGGTTTTCAAACAGTTTCATTACCTCAGTTTCATTCCTTATTTATAAAGGAAACGAAACATAAAATTTAAATTTATGTTATAAAAAATTTTGAATGACCGTCACAAATTAGGGTCGTCCCTCAAAAAATTGATAATTTACACTGAACTTTTACTATGGCTAAAACTATAGCTACTGTAATAACTTTTCTGATTACCCAACTTTACTACTGCGCTACCACATTAAGTGTTGAATTCTAGAAAATAACATTATACTACTATCAATTAGAGAATAATCGCGTTCATATGATAAACATAATATTATAACATAAATGATAATAAAGGTGATGTTATAAAAACATTTCAGAATGTTGTAAAATCGGACGAGACTGTAAATGTAATAATCAACATTTATTTATTTTAATTGCAAACCTAATTTCATATAAACGACAGAATTATGTTTCGAAAATTTGCGGTACATAGATCTGATCGTACTCCAAAGTTATATTTCCCGAACGGGAAGAAATTGAGAGTGTATCACACATTCTTATAACGCAATTTTTAATTGAAAGTCAATTTTTAGTTGAAAGAATTTTGTTCGTGTTTCGAATCTTGTTTTTTTCTAAAATCTATATAAAAATTTAGTCACGATTCATAAAAAGCTTCTTTTAAATGTTCAGTCGATATTTTGGGAAAGAGCTCCAAAATTAATAGAAAAATAGTTATTGAAAAATGACAATATAAATTATTTAAAAGTGAATGAAAATCAAGATACACAAATAGACTGCAAATTTCGTGTCATTGTTTGCGTTTTTCTAAGAGTTTGAACACAATTCTTGTAATAATGTTCTATTTTTGTTTGCTATTCTAAGAGTTCCTGTTTAATTGATTTAATAATTATTTTTATCGTATTTGTTTCCGAAATAGGACAAAAATAATTGCCATTTCTAACGAATTTTCTTAATTTTTAAAAATTAATTTTAATAAATAATAAATTCAAATTTGTTAAAGTAATAAATACTTGATGCTCTCCTTAATACTTTTACAGACATAATTCATTTTGGAATATATTTAGGAATTTGTTTAGAATTTGATCAGACAATTTTATTAAATACTGTTTTAATAACCTTTTCATAATTCCTAAAAAATAAGATTAAATATTTACTAGAACTATTTATTATGTACTTACAATCAAGATCTTACAACATAAATGCATTTTGTCTCAAAGGACCTTTTTTTAAAAATTTCAAATTTTACTTTTGATAAGAATAGTAATAATTTCATAGTTTTTTACTTTTTTTTATAAATTTTAAATATTTCTTTTTTTATTTTCTCTACAATTTTCATGCAACGTTTACATATCTACGTATAAACAAAAAACTAACAAGCATTTATACGTTCTTACTCGTACATTTAAATTCTAAAATCGTTTTTCTAATTTTTGTCATTTTCTTAGTTAATTAAGCCCGTCAAAATATTTTTAAATTTTTTTTTATAAAACTTTTTGTTTTTGATAATCTTCAAAATTTTATTAAAATATTAGAAATAGATACATTATATAAAAAATCCAAAATCCAGCACAAACGTTATTTTTCAAAAACATTAGAAAAAAATCAAAAAAAAAAGAAAATTCTTTTTAAATTATATAAAATAATATTTAAAGAAATTTACTTAACTGCACCTTTTGAAAATTCTTTTATTCATCTTTATCAAATTTTTACAAAAAACCAAAATAAAATTACTAAAGAAAGAAAAAAAAGTAAATTCATTATTTATTTGTTTCTATACTAAAATCATGTGAATAACCACACTGTATCCTAAGGTAGCGAAGAACTGATATAAAATAAATAATATTCTAATCAAAAAAGGTTAATCATAAATTACATAACACAATAATAAATGTAATAAATACCTACTAGTACTAGTTGTTTTCGACTCTAGAATAATCAAATTTTCTTCAGTTAAATCCTTAACGTACTTGCTCTGTACTTATTTTCCGTTATTTCGACAAGGTTAAATTTATGTTTTTAGAATATTAAACCGTTTTCACAAAGGCAAAAAATTGTAAATTGTATCTTCAGTTTGCTTTTGTATATGTATCGTTATTCCGTTTTACATGTTGGAAGAAATGTAAAAATTTTTTGAATCATTAAAAGTGAATCTCAAATTCGTAAAATCATAACAGTAAATTTTGTCGAAAAATGTATACCTTTTTAAGTATAACTTTTCTGGTTTCCATTCTTTTTTTTCAATTGAGAAATTCTTCTGTTTTCTATATCTTAACTATATATATTTATTCTTTTATATATTACTCGTATTACAATTATACATAAAAGTAATTAAAATAAATTAACTGCTGCTAACAACTTCGGTAGAGGTAACCCTTTCTGTTAAATCGAAAAGCAATTTTTAACTTAAAAGCCTTTCAATTCAATTTCATGATAATATTGTAATATAATTACATATTTATATACGTTACGTATGAACAAATTGATTATTCTAGTGACAAAAAAAAGGACGTAAAACTAAACATATTAAAAGCCTTTATTAATATAAAATATTAGAAAAAAATCAAGTATTTTAACCCAGAATTTATTTTTATTTATGTAGATATAATTTAAATTTTTTTATTTATTTAATTAAAAAAAAAAACAATTTTATAAAATAAATTTTTATTACCTTTCTTTCCCTCTTTCTTTCTCTCACTTACGAATATTTTTTAAAATCATTTCATGCTGTCATATAAAACGGATGAGTTTGCATGTCGCTGTAAAACCTCAAAATGAGCGACCAATCTATATCTATTTTGTATAAAGAACGTTTAGAATAAAAATAACTTTATCTTAAGAATTGGAACCAGTAGTCAATAAAAATAAAAATATATAAAAACAAAATATTGGAACAAAATTATAAATTAAATATAATAAAAACCAAAATGTATTTAGTAAAAAAATGTAAAATAAACATAAATTAAAAACCAATATTAAAAAAAAATGTAAACAATCTTTGGATGATATGGACAAAATTCGAATAAATATTTTATTATAATAACATTAACTAAACATGCAACATAAACGAAAAAGACCGCGAACACAGCCATAGACATAACATAATATAAAACATAATTAATATTAACATATACATAAATAATACATTCATTATAATAACATTAATGCATTCATATACAATATGTTTTTTGAATGAACAGGAACAAGAGAATTAAAATTTGTGAATAAACTAACAACAAAACAAAAATATATATAATACGCGATTGACTGATGACCGTTTAATACTCGAATTAAAATATACAAGAATATAAAAAAAATATGAATAAAAAAATTAAATACTTAGAAAACAAATTACTAAATATTTAAAAGAGCATAAAAAATAAAATCAGTTATCCAAAAAAAAAAACTATTTAAGGTTCAAAAACCAATTTAGCTTAGAAAAAATAATTTTTTTTTGTTTTCCAGTTTATTTTACCTTAAAATAAATAATAAAATGCAAAAAAAAAAGTGAAAAATTAAATTAAACCCAAAAAAAAGAATAAATAAATAAAAAGCTAGTAATGGTAAATAAAATAAAAGGAATGTATAGAGAAACTAATAAAAATGTTGTTATATAATGAATTAGAAATTGTAAATATATGAAATAAAAAGAAAAACAGAAAAATATATAAGAAAACAGAATATGTATAAGTATTTCAAGTGTATTATATTTAATTTAAATACTAATATATATATATATATATATATATATATACATGACGACTATATTGAAATAATCATGTACATTGAAAATCTTTTTTCTTTAATTTAATAAAATAAATTTTAGGCTGTTCTATTTTAATATTTTAATTTATTAAATTCGAATTAAATTATTTCTACTAATTATACTATAATTATTAAAACTATATAGTATTTGCAGTATTTATTTTATATTAAATTAAACAATATTTTATTTATTTATTGAACTTATATTTTTATACATTTTGGTATAATTTATTATACCAAAAGTATTATAACGTACATACGCGGTTATTTTTAAATAATAATCAAAAAACTATAAAATCATAGCATATGCATTAAAAGCTACTGATATAATATGTCACAAGTAGAAGAAATGTTATATATTTTTCAAACAATTTGACCTATAAAGGAAACGGAAGACCGGAAGCCAAAAACTTAATATTTAAGCTTCATGTTCGCCCATGATCTTAATACAATTTGTCCTATTTTTAACAAAAAGCAACTATTTTTATATGTATGTATGTATGTCATTTTCTTGAAATTTATTTGAGTATTTATTTATATTGAAAATATTTAATGATTACTAGATAAGTCTGACTACACAAAATATTTTCAAGTTTTTCTTCTAAAATTGACAAAGTACTTTATATAATTTAAATACTAAAAATAAATATAATTTCGATTATAGGTTGCAATCAAAAATTATTATGTATTATAAAAATGTTTTTGAAGCAATATTAATTTTTATATAAGAATCAAAATGGAAAAAGATATGAAAAAATTTTCGAAAAATTTATATACAACGAATTTTTTTAAAATAAATAACCTTATCCAAAATAACGGGAATTATTAACAATTTTAATTAAAAATTTAAAGAACGTGCAAATTAATATTTTTTTAATTTTTTTTTTGTTTTGTCAAAAGAACTAATTTCTAGATTTTATTTCTATGATTCTAAATTTCATCTCATTATTTTTTATATATCTCAAACTTATTTCGTATATTTTAATTATGTACATGATTACATAATATCAATTTATGTATATATATTGTATACAAAGCTTATATTCACTATATTTATGACAAAAAAAACATAAAGGAATCAATTAGGAAATGACTAGGAATGCTACAAATACAAAAAAAAAAGAAAGAATAAACTCAAAAAATTCTCATACTCGTAAAAAAATCCCTATTAAATTCATTACACTACATAATAATTATAAATATATACATATATATATATACATAATACAAAAATACATTTATAAATATAATAAATTAAGAAAAAGTAAAATCCAAAAAAAAATTAATATATTATATATTATATAAATAAATAAATAAATTTACATTATATACATACATAAAATATATTATATTATAATTCTAGTGCAAAAATTGGAATAATTAGCTTTCGATTAGATATTTCTAATATTTTGTTTAAAAATTAAGCTAAAAAAATATACATATATTACATATAAACATTTGTTTCACTAATTTTTGAAATTATATTTTAAATTATTGTTTTTCAATTTTAGTTCATACATAAGTTTGTTAATATTAAGGATACAAGAAAAAAAAAGAAAAAAAGAAATAAAAAAAAAGAAACCATAAAATTAAATTAGAGTGTTAAAATTAATATAAAATTATAATAAAGAACAAAAAAAAAAAAATAAATGAATTATAAAAAAAAGAAAAAAAAAATGCTTTTTGTTGTATAATTAAGAATTGTATTATTTTTATGTTAAATAAATTGAATTGAACTGAATTTTTTTGCTTTATTACTAAAATTATTACCGTAAATATCTACTTCCATTTTAACTCAAATCTCTCATATGCTAACCCTGAACTAAGTATACATAAATTAAAATCCCTGAGCTTTAAATTGAGCGGATTTTAACGAAAGGCTGAACTTGTTATTAGAGCAATTTGTTTTTAGAGCAATTTGTTAGTGTGATTTTCGAAATTCTCTTATTATTAACATTTTTGATTCATTTTAATACAAAACGGTGGAATTCTTTATTTTGTTTACCCCAATAAACTTCAAAAAATATTTTGTATGTAAAAATGTAATATCTATAGTATGTTGTTTAATGTCAACATTTTTTCTTTAGGCAATAAAATTACATATGATAATAAATTTAAGACATACAAAGGAAACTGATCATCACATGGACGACCGCAATGTGTGTTGTCTAGTTTAGTCAAAGTTCTGTTTAAGATTATCGAAATGCTTTTTAAACACTTTTTTTTTTTTAATTTTATTGACGCTAGTAAGTTTTTAGTAAACGTACCAAGAAAAATGTAAAATGAACAGTTCGCCAGTTAGTTTCGAAACTCAAAAATTAAATTTCAAGAAATCCCATCAATTGATTCTAATTGACGTTTTATGATAAAAAAATTAAAATCTGTGCTCACTTCGGTTGCCGAGGCCTGACACATCTGAAAAGTTGATTAATCCGTGGGATAGCCAAAAAAACCCACACACAGACTGACAGACAGACAGATGGACCTGTCCCCCTAAAAATAGTTTGTTTATGCTTCTCTATCATGAGGAAGTCGTTCCCACTCAACACTCAACATCCGAAATTTGGTGCCATCACATCACCTCCCTTTTTGTATGTAATGCGATCGGTAATAAACTTCATAAATAAATAAAGAGTTCGAGAGAGATTTTTGAATTAAAAAAACTAAAATTTACGAATATACTCGTATATATTTCGAAATGCTGAGTAATCTTATATAGTATATTAAAAATAGTTTGCATTAAACAAGAATTCGTCTATGAGAAGAGATAGAGATGTTTGCTATATGACTGACACTTGTGGAAATGTAGTATATTGTTACTTTGAGGATCATTGGTGCGGTTCGAATTTATAATTTGGGGTTGGTTTTTAATTTTTTTAATAGATAATAGCAATCAATATAATATTATAATCAAGTTTTTAATCATTATTAACAATACTATAATGTTGTAACAAAGTTTTAATAATATTCTAATCAATTATTTTTTTTATTTTGTTTAATTGAACTTTTCATTAATCTTATACATTATACTTAAAATAATAACATTCCTGTTTTGTGCCAACATTGCAAATTTATTAAAAGCAATAGTTGACCTTTAATTAAATTATGTATAGCTTTGACAGAAGATAAATCACCAATAATAAAGAAAGCATAGAATTCTAATTTTTCTCTTTCACTTTCAATTAATTGAAATTCTTAATATTTTATAATTTGATGCTGTAAAATGTTTCAGTATTATAGATAGTTTTCATAATTTGTATGCATAGAATAACGTATAACTTATTTACATGGATGTTTTTGAATTTTATTTTATATCTTTCTTTTATAATATACATTAATATTAGATTGTTATTGAAAAGTTATTGAAAAGGACTCTAAAATAAAATTATTTATTTTAATATGCTTGAAAGGGTCATAAAAATATATTATATGGGTCCCATAACGAGTAAATAATATAGTATTTAACTATATTGAACACATTATAATAACTATTATAAAAAATAGAGTTGATCGCGTCAGCTTTATGATAGTCGTAGGAAAGTTTTCCAAGAGTTGTATGGCTTGACATCTGAAAAAAGAGATACGTCTATTAATATTTCGTTTTTTTGGAATAGCGGCCTTATATTTCCGAAATGTTGAATAAATTTTAAGGATTTCAGGAGGAGCTTCACTTAGTAATAAATTTATGGGCTTAGGACTTCGTTGGGTCCAGCCAGTGCGTGAGCATCTGAACTAAGGACCAAACTTTTCTTTCACTGTCAGCCAATACCTAAAATTTAAAATTTAAAATATTTATCTTAGCTTCATTAGCGTTTTAGTTACGCTTCGAAATCGACTTGGAATTCAACATTGAACCATATACTCGTATATATACTCGTATATACATATATACACATATAATATACCTCAGGTATATATTTCTTAGCATTATAAACGGGTGAAAAATTTATAACAACCTTTGCACATTCGTTATTAAAACCGTATAAAAAGTAATTTGAAAATATCAAAAATGAATATTAGATTACAGTTCAATACTGAGCACACAATGTGTCGGTTTTGGAAAAGAGTTTTAAATATTTAATGACGTAAAAGTTTCTTAACTGTATTTAAATATTATTTTTTGTCCCAAACGATTTCAAAGTTGAAAGAATTTTTCATAATTTTTCACTTTTACTACCCACTTTTAATTCATTATTTACCTTGAAATAGCGAGATAATTTATAAATTAAATTTTCAAACATAATTTAGAAATTGAATTTTTCAAATTTTAATATTCAAAGTGCTATTTTATTTTCACATTAATATCTTAATCTATCTCCTATAATAATTTTAATGCCTATAAACTCTTAATTAATTTTATTCCTATAAATTTTTATTGACTTCATTTTTCTACCTTTTTATTGTGTTTCTTTAAACTTAACATGCGATTAAAAATTTTAATCAATGTAATTGACAGAGGAATGGTGGAATTGTTTGTTATCTTCTAGAGAAATAACTTTTTATTTAAGATAATTTTAACTTGCTAGCGTAAATCTGTACTGGTTCAAAATAAGCTTAATACTGTTACATAAGGGTTATGACAGATTTTGCAAACTAAACTTATTGACATTCTGATTAATTGAGTAATCAAAAATAAGAAAGTAAATATCTAAACATTTTTTATATACATATTTTGCTTTCTCATCAACATTTTAACTGTTTACTTTTCAAAACGTTTTTACTTTGTATTTGTCCTATTCCTTATTTATGTTATATAATTTAAATTTATTTATATAGACGTTATAAATTTAAGTTTGACAAATAAAACAAAAATCGTTCTGTTTAAAATTTCTTTCAGTACTAGAAAACCCCAAGTTATTACATAATTCATTTTAGAAGTCCTATGTAAATATGGTTGAAAAATTTTATGTAACCCCTAAATACGAGTATTAATAATTCTTGAGAACACTAAGATAAGGAATATAAAAAATGTAATGAATTTTAAATGGAAGAAAGATTTTCTTGTATATTTCAAAATAATTTGGGGTATTTTCTATTTTTACAGTTAAAACCTAAACAAGAATTTTCCTATTGAAATAATGATCTCTTTCATTTATAACCTAACAATTTATTGAACTACAATATTATTTTACATGCATACATAACTTGAATTTTAAAAAATTCGAATCTCAGTCGTTCGTAGTATATTATTTCTTCATATTTTTCTTAAATTATATAAAATGTCTTTATATAATAATCAAATTGAATTTGCAATACTCAGAGCGGTAGATTTATAATACCATAAATAATCTTGAATATAATATACATGTCAAACTTATTGAAATAGCTAATAAAGAGGGCAACAAAACACAAAAATCACATTTCCCTTTATGAAAATCAAAGAAAAGAGGAAAAATTCAATCATTTAGAAAATAATTCTGCTCATATATTTTCTCATCATGTTTTTTTTTCACAAAAATGATCACACATCGAAATTTAAGGATGTATCCCGGTAAAAATTAACATCAAGTTTAATAAAACGAAATTTAACTTTTTGTATAAAAATATTAAAACGAGATGAAAATAAAAAATGCAATTGTAATTTTTGAAAATTAGTCCTGTTACACTGAATGTCCTTTAAATATAAAAAAAAATGTTATTTAAAAGACTATGAAGAAAAGAATGTACTTAAATAAATTAATTATAGAAATAACTTAAAAACAATGTTTGTATTTATGGGAGATAAATACAAACATTGTTAAAGATAAAGTGTGGAAGATGGAACAGACGAATTTTTTCAATTTATTTGAAAAAATTTAAATAAAAATTTTCTTCTAGAAAATAAGATGTTAGTAAAAATCTATTTGCAAACATATTTTCAACTTTCTATCTTAAAGGCGTAGAAGTTTTGTAGACAAACCTACGAAAGAACGGACGGACGGAACAAATTGTGTAATTTGCAGTTATCTGACTTTGATTAAATACATATAAATCAACGCTTGCAAGTCACATATATTTCTAATGTAAATTTTATAATATTCTCTTGGCAAAAACTTTAGCTTTTGTGCATAAACTTTGAATTATTACGAGTATTGAGTTTTTTGTTAAAGTTGTCGT